CCGCGATTGACGTTGGATCTACTTCGGGGAACATTGTTTTAATAAAGGACTTGTCAAAGACCCTGTACTGTGTTTTTTTTTTACACCACACTTAGATTTTTGTGAATGAGTCTGCGGACCGTGTACCGCAGAATCCTTCACGTGGGGGGGGGGCGGGATCTGGGGGCCCCCTTGTTAAAGGGGGCTTCCAGATTCTGATAAGCCCCCCGCCCGCAGACCCTCACAACCACCGGCCAGGGTTGTGGGGAAGAGGCCCTTGTCCTCATCAACATGGGGACAAGGTGCTTTGGGGGGGGGAGCCCCCCTGCCCCAAAGCACCCCCCAATGTTGAGGGCATGTGGCCTGGTATGGTTCAGGATGGGGGGGGCGCTCTCTCGTCCCCCCCCTTTCCTGACCTGCCGGGCTGCATGCTCGGATAAGGGTCTGGTATATGGATATTGAGGGGGACCCACTCTGTTTTTTTTTTAAATTTCAGCGTGGAGTTCCCCCTTAATATCCATACCAGACCTGAAGGGCTTGGTATGGATGAGAGGGGGGACCCACGCTGTTTTTTTTTTTTTTTTTTTTATTGCGGACCTTTATTTTTACATTCAGCTGTCAAAATAAATATTATCTAGACCTTCAAAATAAGTAAAAAATCATAACAGAAATAATTATAAAGGATAAGAAACAAAAATAGAATCACTAGAACTAAGGAAATCTAATTTGAATACATGAAGATATGCCGAGTGCTGTTTATTAAACACAGTAGTCGCGACCGAGTGTTGGCTGTCAGAGGAATCCACAATCAGATTCACTATTAGGCAGTGGCTAAAAAGCAAACGCCCATAGCAGACGTCTAAAAGGTGTTCTACACATGCTCAGTTCTATCTGCCAGAGACACTGCAAGGGCGTCTAGATTTTTATTGTGTCGATTTCCTTGAAAAAAAAAACGATTTTTAACACATTCTTAATTTTTTTGGAAATAGCAGATATTGTTTAAAATGAAGTCCTGATATTTGGCAAAGCAAATTTCTAAGTGAAACATGTCTCTGCAGTGATTTTTCATGGTGTTAGACGTGCTTCTTAGCAAGTCTGCTTTTGTGAGTCTGATTTCCGGGCGTGTGTCTTTTTGTGAATTAGATTGGGCGTCTGCTTATGGGCTCTGGTCAATAGTGAATTAGGTTGCAGGGTAAAAAATAGACGGACGCCCATGAAAATTGGGCTTAAGCCCATAAATATGCGCCCACGCCCAATAGTGAATCAGGGCCAAAATGTAGCATAGGTCCTGATGGTTTGCTATAATAACTAGAGATGAGCGAATCGAACATGACGAAGTGGAATTCGTTCCGAAGATTTGGAAAAATTCTATTCGCGACGAATCCGAAGATTAGCAAACTTCGGATGCACGAATCGAATTTTCCCAAAAACGGCGGCGACATGTGTGGCGACGGAGAAAATGGACAGAGAAGATGGGGCGGGGATCTCTGGGAAGGTGCGCAGACAAGGCGCGCTGACCCATAATGCATTCATGACATGTGATCGCATTAGCCAATCAGCAGCCAGCCAGCACTGTGTAATGGTGGAGCTATAAATCGCGGCCATCTTAGAATTCTCCATTAGCCTCCGGTCATTCAAGAGAGACAGACCTGTGTGTATTAAGGGACAGAGTTAGGGCCACAGAGACTTTAGGGCCACAGAATCGTTACTCAGGGACACAGAATCGTTACTATCGGGATTTACACAAAATCGTTACTCAGGGACACAGAATCGTTACTCAGGGACACAGAATCATTACTCAGGGACACAGCTATCAAAGAATCGAAAATTTAAGTGACATACACCCTTTTTTTTTTTGGTGGCTGTCGTGCACAGTTGGTGCTGAAGTTTGCCGATTGTGCAAAACAAACTGACTTTCTGCTTCACAACCACTATGTACGTTCAAAGAGTTAAATCCATTTACACGCCGGCTGGCGGTAATATTTTTTGGGTGATTAGTGCATTCCAGTGACACAAACGTACAGTTTCCAGCCAACGGCAAGCTGCAATTGACCGATTGTGTACAATAAACTGACTTTCTGCTTCACAACCACTATTGTACGTTCAAAGAGTTTAAGATCCATTTACGCCGGGTGGCGGTAATATTTTTTGGGTGCTTAGTGCATTCCAGTGGACATAAACGTACAGTTTCCAGCCAACGGCAAGCTGCAATTGACCGATTGTGCTAAATAAACTGACTTTCTGCTTCACAACCACTATTGTACATTCAAAGAGTTAGATCCATTTACACGCCGGGTGGCGGTAATATTTTTTGGGTGATTAGTGCATTCCAGTGACATAAAACGTACAGTTTCCAGCCAACGGCAAGCTGCAATTGACCGATTGTGCTAAATAAACTGACTTTCTGCTTCACAACCACTATTGTACGTTCAAAGAGTTAGATCCATTTACACGCCGGGTGGCGGTAATATTTTTTGGGTGATTAGTGCATTCCAGTGACATAAACGTACAGTTTCCAGCCAACGGCAAGCTGCAATTGACCGATTGTGCTAAATAAACTGACTTTCTGCTTCACAACCACTATTGTACGTTCAAAGAGTTAAATCCATTTACACGCCGGGTGGCGGTAATATTTTTTGGGTGATTAGTGCATTCCAGTGACATAAACGTACAGTTTCCAGCCAACGGCAAGCTGCAATTGACCGATTGTGCTAAATAAACTGACTTTCTGCTTCACAACCACTATTGTACGTTCAAAGAGTTAAAATCCATTTACACGCCGGGTGGCGGTAATATTTTTTGGGTGATTAGTGCATTCCAGTGACATAAACGTACAGTTTCCAGCCAACGGCAAGCTGCAATTGACCGATTGTGCTAAATAAACTGACTTTCTGCTTCACAACCACTATTGTACGTTCAAAGAGTTAATCCATTTACACGCCGGGTGGCGGTAATATTTTTTGGGTGATTAGTGCATTCCAGTGACATAAACGTACAGTTTCCAGCCAACGGCAAGCTGCAATTGACCGATTGTGCTAAATAAACTGACTTTCTGCTTCACAACCACTATTGTACGTTCAAAGAGTTAGATCCATTTACACGCCGGGTGGCGGTAATATTTTTTGGGTGATTAGTGCATTCCAGTGACATAAACGTACAGTTTCCAGCCAACGGCAAGCTGCAATTGACCGATTGTGCTAAATAAACTGACTTTCTGCTTCACAACCACTATTGTACGTTCAAAGAGTTAAATCCATTTACACGCCGGGTGGCGGTAATATTTTTTGGGTGATTAGTGCATTCCAGTGACATAAACGTACAGTTTCCAGCCAACGGCAAGCTGCAATTGACCGATTGTGCTAAATAAACTGACTTTCTGCTTCACAACCACTATTGTACGTTCAAAGAGTTAAATCCATTACACGCCGGGGTGGCGGTGGCGGTAATATTTTTTTGGGTGATTAGTGCATTCCAGTGACATAAACGTACAGTTTCCAGCCAACGGCAAGCTGCAATTGACCGATTGTGCTAAATAAACTGACTTTCTGCTTCACAACCACTATTGTACGTTCAAAGAGTTAAATCCGGTTTTATTTTTGGGGTGCTTATTGAATTAAAGAGTATGTCAGACAACACGCAGAGGAGTGGCAGAGGAGGCAATGTTTCAGGAGCGAGCAGACGTGGCAGCAGAGGAAGGGGTCGAGGCAGCACTAGTCGCAGCCAGAGGCCAGTGCTCCCGGTGTCATCCAGCGGTCGTGTCTCCACCGACAACCCTGCCGTCATCGATTGGTTTGACTCGGTCGTCTTCCTCTTCCCAGGTCACCTCTGACACCTACAGCCAACGGTCGGTGGGTACGTCAGACACAACCGTTAGTTGGCATGGCCCGGGAGCAAGCCCACTGAAATCACGTGTCCTCGACCTGCCCCTGTCCTTTGGTGTTCCCTCACCAAGCGAAGTATCGCATGCTGTGGGCTCAGCCCCACTGTACAGTGAGGAAGAGCTAACAGAGGGCGGTCAGGAACGGGGGGAGACATCCGCCTCTTCAGCAGCCAGGCGAAGAAGTACTGGCGAGGAGAGTGGCTCGGTAGCCGGTCTAGAGACAGGTCTGTCTCCTGACCCACACGCAGCCGAGGGGGCTAGTAGTGACGCGGAGACCCTAATTGATGATGATGAGGCTGATCGCACTTGGCAGCCTCGTCGTCATCAGGCTATTGCTTCCGCATCATCAGGAGAAGAGGGTGCCAGCTTGCCAGCGAGCAAAACAGTCGGTGGGTTGCCCAGGAGGCAGCAGGGTCGCAGCAGTGTCAGTGGAGCCAAACGGCCACGGAGTAGAGCACCAGCTCCACTGCAGCCTACCACCACGGCCAGTAGTGGTGCCGGTGTGCACGGAGGAAGTAGCAGTCAGCCAGTGAGGAGTAGCGGGGGCAAAGTTTCCTACTCGGCGGTGTGGCAATTTTTCGTCAAGCCGCCCGAGGAAGTAAACGTAGCCGTATGTCGACTATGTGGCCAGAAAGTCAAGCGTGGCCAGGGGGCCAATGTTGGGACTACAGCGTTGCGTCAGCATATGCAGCGTCGCCATTCGGTGGCCTGGGAAAACCGTGATAAAGATACGGCGGTTCTGCCTGCCCCAGCCCCCGCTCCATCACCCGCTCCGTTACTTGCTCCGTCACCCGACGTCAATCGCCCTCTATCAGCCAGTCAAGGCTCCAACACCTCTGCTGAGGGGAGTTGTCGCTCGTTGGCATCTTCCGCTCGTTCAGATGCTCCTTCTCCTGCTACTCCTCTTCACGGATTCCGTCAGCAGTCTTTCTTGGAATCCGTTTCCAAGAGACAACAGTTTGCGAGCACGCACCCGACGGTGCAGAAGCTGAACGTCCTCCTGTCCAAGTTGCTGGTGCTGCAGTCCCTCCCTTTCCAAGTGGTGGACTCAGCACCTTTCCGAGAAATGATGGCTTGTGCCGAGCCGCGGTGGAGAGTGCCAAGCCGGCATTTCTTCGCCAAAAAGGCAGTGCCAGCCCTGCATTCACATGTAGAAGAGATGGTGGGCCAGTCTTTGAGCATGTCGGTCTCTGCCAAAGTGCACGGCAGCGCCGACGTGTGGAGCTGTAACTACGGTCAGGGACAGTACATGTCATTTACGGCCCACTGGGTGAACGTGGTGCCGGCACAGCCGCACCAGCAACTTGGACAGGTCACGCCGCTTTTGCCTCCACGTTTGCACGTCCTTGGTCCAGCAAAGATGTCCGCCTCTACCACCTCTTCTTCCGCCGTGTCCTCAGCCGCCGCCACCCCCGTGCCAAGTCCCATTACCCGACCGGCATATCACATGTGCAGGGCGCAACGGTGTCACGCTGTGCTGCACCTGGTATCTTGGCGAACGTAGTCACACAGGGGAGGAACTTCTGAGTGTAATGAACAGAGAAATCGACAGATGGCTGTCTCCGCGCAAACTGAAAATCGGAACCATGTTGACCGACAACGGAAAGAACATGGTGTCTGCTCTGCGTCAAGGAAGGTTGTGCCATGCGCCATGCATGGCTCACGTGTTCAATCTGGTTGTCAAGCGGTTCCTAAAATCCACCATCCCACTGCAAGACATCCTTAAAATGTCACGTAAACTTTGCATGCATTTCAGCCATTCCTACACCCGCAAAGCACACCCTCCTTGAGCTGCAGCGGCAGAACGGAATTCCACAGCATCGCCTGATCTGCGACGTTGCAACAAGGTGGAATTCAACCCTACATATGTTAGACCGCCTTTACGAACAGCGAAAGGCCATCACCGATTTCCTGATGTTACAAGCGGATAAAGGTACTCCCCTGTGTAACTTAGATGTCAGCCATTGGCAGCTCATGCGTGACACCTGCCGCTTGCTCAGGCCCTTTGAGGAGGCCACGCTATTCGTGAGTCGGCAGGACTATGGGATGAACGACGTCATTCCTCTGTTGCACGTCCTGGAACAAATGCTGTTAACAATGGCTGGTCAGGGTGCGGTAGACGTGGCGCACAGATCTCAACGCCACATGACCCCTGTGGGGGGCAGGACAGGAAGAAGAGGAGGAGGTAGAGGAGGACATTGGTGCTCAGGAATTATTGAGTGAAATGGGTGGTTTTTCCACTCAGCGGACAGGAGTGGAGGAGCAGGAGCATCTGGTAGAGGAGGAGGAGGAGACAGAGGACCCAGACGCACCGTGGCAGTATGCTGTGGAGATGGAGGCAGGGAGTCCCTCGCATTCCTTGGCACAAATGGCCCATAGCATGCTCGGTTGCTTGCGTAGCGACAGCCGAATAATAACCATCAGACAGAGGGATGACTTTTGGCTGTCCACCTTGTTGGACCCCTCGCTACCGTTCAAAAATGGTGGCCTTTTTCACACCTGCTGAGAGGGAGGCCAAAATAAAGTACTATAAAAACCACCTATGTAGTCATGCAGTATATAGCCCTATCGGCCACTTTCTGGCATCCAGTTGCTGTAGCCCCCATCACCACACTGTGCCACGGGCCCCTGTACCGCCTTCTCATACTGCTGCCAGATCCATCCTCTGCCATGTGCGTCTTTGTCGTCTGCTCACGCTGCTGGTTCCAGTTTTAAACCTAGGCCTGTGTATGGCTTCCGAATACTGCTGCCTCCACCGCCACCCTGCGCCATGTGCCTCTGTCGTCTGCTCACGTCTGCTCACGCTGCTGACGGCTTCCGCTTTTTAACCTAGGCCTGTGTATGGCTTCCGAATACTACTGCCTCCACCGCCACCCTGCGCCATGTGCCTCTGTCGTCTGCTCACGCTGCTGACGGCTTCCGCTTTTTTAAACTAGTCCTGTATGTCTTCCGAATACTGCTGCCTCCACCGCCACCCTGCGCCATGTGCCACTTTCAGGTCTCCTTACACTGTTGGTGGGTTCCATTTTGTGATAGGGTGCTGTATGGCCTTCCATTGCTGCTGCCTCCACCGCCACCCTGCGCCATGTGCCTCTGTCGTCTGCTCACGCTGCTGACGGCTTCCGCTTTTCAAACCGAGGCCTGTGTTTGGCTTCCGAATACTGCTGCATCCACCGCCACCCTGCGCCATGTGTCTCTGTCGTCTGCTCACGCTGCTGACGGCTTCCGCTTTTTAACCTAGGCCTGTGTATGGCTTCCGAATACTGCTGCCTCCACCGCCACCCTGTCTGGCCATGTGCCGCACTAGGTCCTGTCTGCTCTTCATGCTTACGCTTGCCTGCTTTTTACTTTCAGGTCTCCTCACCTGTGGTTCCATTTTTTGTGATAGGTGCTTTATGGCCTTCCATTGCTGCTGCCTCCACCGCCACCCTGCGCCATGTGCCTCTGTCGTCTGCTCACGCTGCTGACGGCTTCCGCTTTTTAACCGAGGCCTGTGTTTGGCTTCCGAATACTGCTGCATCCACCGCCACCCTGCGCCATGTGCCTCTGTCGTCTGCTCACGCTGCTGACGGCTTCCGCTTTTTAACCGAGGCCTGTGTGTTTGGCTTCCGAATACTGCTGCATCCACCGCCACCCTGCGCCATGTGTCTCTGTCGTCTGCTCACGCTGCTGACGGCTTCCGCTTTTTAACCTAGGCCTGTGTATGGCTTCCGAATACTGCTGCCTCCACCGCCACCCTGCGCCATGTGCCTCTGTCGTCTGCTCACGCTGCTGACGGCTTCCGCTTTTTAACCGAGGCCTGTGTTTGGCTTCCGAATACTGCTGCATCCACCGCCACCCTGCGCCATGTGTCTCTGTCGTCTGCTCACGCAACTGACGGCTTCCGCTTTTTAACCGAGGCCTGTGTTTGGCTTCCGAATACTGCTGCATCCACCGCCACCCTGCGCCATGTGTCTCTGTCGTCTGCTCACGCTGCTGACGGCTTCCGCTTTTTTAACCGAGGCCTGTGTATGGCTTCCGAATACTGCTGCCTCCACCGCCACCCTGCGCCATGTGCCACTTTCAGGTCTCCTTACACTGTTGGTGGGTTCCATTTTGTGATAGGGTGCTGTATGGCCTTCCATTGCTGCTGCCTCCACCGCCACCCTGCGCCATGTGTCTCTGTCGTCTGCTCACGCTGCTGACTGCTTCCGCTTTTTAACCTAGGCCTGTGTATGGCCTTCAATTGGAGCTGCTTCTGCTCCGCCACTCTGCCATTGGACTCTTGATAGTCGTCTCCCCACGCTGCTGCTGGGGGGACTTTTTAACATAAGCCTCTGTATGGCCTTCAATTTTAGCTGCTTACGCTCCGCCACTCTGCCATGGGCCCCTGTACCGCCTCCTCATGCTGCTGCCAGGCCCGTAATCTGCCATGGGCCCCCGTACCGACTCCATCATGCTGCTGCCAGGCCCGTAATCTGTCATGGGCCCCTGTACCGCCTCCTCATGCTGCTGCCAGGTCCAGAGTGTGTCATGGGTCCCTGTACGGCCTCCCATTGCTGCTGTCTCCATCGCCACACTCTGCCATGTGCCACTTTCAGGTCTCCTCACACTGCTGGTGGGTTCCATTTTGTCATAGGGTGCTGTATGGCCTCCCATTGCTGCTGCCTCCACCGCCACACTGTGGCTCCACACTCTGGTTTTGGCCCCGTGACTGCCCAAATGAGTGAAGTGTGCGGTGATTCTAAGATCGACGGCACTCATCTGCATGTCATACTGACTGACAGTATTATTTCTCTTCCCCAGCAGACTCCAAGGGCATTTAAATTAAAGGTACAGTGTTCTGCAC